ATAACTTCAAGTATATTATAAAGAGTTTCAAGAAAGATGATAGAGTCTGACTGAGTCTAGAAAATATCATCATATAAAGATCTAGTAAGAAGCTGAATCTCTTGTGAATAGAGTCTTCTAAGATTGTGAAGAAAGTTAGCTTGCAGTTCTACAGATTAAAACTGTTATCTGAGTTGTAGATATATAATGTTTTTCATGTCTCTTTACTCTGTGAATATAAGAAATTCTCAGAAGAGAACTCTGTGACTCATCACTCTGTCTATGAAGTACTAGAGAGTGAAAGAGAATATCAGATCAAAGAAATTATTGACTCAGAGAAGTGAAATTATAAACTCTGATTCAAGATTCAGTGATAAGAGTATTCTGACAAGATGAATGAGTTTACTTAAGAATTATCTGAGCAGATAAGACATCTGCAGAAGCTGAGACATGACTTTCATACTGTAAATTCTGATAAGTCAGAATAATACAGTCTTCACTAAGAATCTGATTATGATAAAGATATTAACACTGTCATTTATAAACTCTAGTCTACAAAATAATGAGTTTCTACTGAGATGAACAGTTCACAGTGTATGCAAGGAAAGAAGAAATCATGTTCTCATTAAAGTTAAAAAATAAGAAAATAAACAGGGCTGTAAATACAATTTAGAGATCAATAAAGAAAAAATAAAGAAAACTCACACTCACATTATTAACACTTATGACACTTAAATTCTTCACAACTATCAATTTCTCTCTTTAAAGAAGCAGAGAGTATTATGTCTATAATACAGATAATTATTATATTTAGTGTGAAGACTATCAGAAATGTACAGACTTCAGAGAAGCTGAACATCAGAATATGTACAGTTGTGACAGAGTCTTGAGAACTGACTGTCTGTGCATGTGATCAGATATCTCTCATGAAGCTGAGTCTGCTCTCTCAGTTATACTGAAGTATTCAGTCTGAAAACAATTGAGATGTGAAGAGAGAGCTCATCTGTTCAGATCAACTCTCATCACAAATTCATGACATTTACATTGTCTTGATTATCTGGATTTTGCAGGTATCTGAGAACTCATCTCTTATTGACAATGAAATTGTGGAAATGCACTGCAGTGTGAGAATTATTGATAGAGAATCTAGACATATTTGCATATACCTGATCAGAGATTGTGCGGGCAGAAGAAGAGTGATTGTAGGCTCACAGAGCTGCAGAAGACACTGACAACACTGAGAGCTTCATAAGAACTATTAGCTAGAGTCTGTAAGAAATTACTTGTAAGAAGACTTACAGCAAAGAGAAGAACTACACTGCTTGAAGTCAGAGACTGATCTGAAGAAGAAATGAGATTAGTCACTGATCTGAAGATTAGATACAGTGATAAGACTGAAAGAGATAAAGATACAGTTGTGAATAATGATACTTCTGCTTCATCAGCCAGTAAAAAGCAATCAGAGAAGTCATGAGAATGCTCATAAGAAGCTCAGCAGCAGTCAGACATTGTTTGTAAAGATATTGAAATTGAAAATTTTTATTCTTGAGAAGTTCTTGAATCAATATGTAAACATTGTCAGAAACACTCTCTCTCTGTCATCTGAGTGAAAACACTTCACAGATGAATGAGAATACTCACAGTTTATAAGAATAAGAGCTGTTATAAAAAAAGAGAAAAGAAGATGAGATTCTGCAGACAGATCTGAAATATTTATACTACTCTAGAGAGGTTTGTTTATACTGTAGATAATTCTGCAGAACAGTCAGATCACTCTAATAAATAAAAGTAATTATGAATTACAGATCTGAATCTTTCTATATGACTATAAAGAGTGATTACAGACTGCAGACATCTTGATTCTACAATTCTATAGAGTTGATGAAAGAATGAAAAATTCCTTACAATTCTACAGTGTCAAAGAGTAATGATTTATAAGAATGAGTAAAAGATCAACTCATGAATGTTTCTCTTTAATGAGAGTGATCTTATAAAGAGTGATTCATCTGTGAGATGAATCTGTGTAATAATCACACAAGAATCTTATGAAAATGATTGAGAGTTAACTGAAACTCTTCTGTATAAAAGATGTAAGATGAATCTGTGTGATAGTCAGAGAAGAATCTGTAGATTATAAAGAATCTCACAGAATAAGAAACTGAGTGACAGACTCTTTTCTCTTTGTAATAACAAGGGATTTTTTCTCACTGAGGTTTTTTATAGATGCAAAGAGTTTTTAATGAGTATCACTGCAGTGCTGAGCTGACTATAAAGTCACTCAGTGAAAGGCTTCACAGACAAAGTCTTAGAGAGAGAGAGATATGTAAGAAATCCTGCTTCTTGCAGATTCTTTACCTCTATTTCTATCTCTTGTGTAATTAATAGAGCTAGCGGCCCTTGACTACATACAACTATATAGACTGGAGTTCATGAATACTATTTATAACTCAGCTTGAATACTATTATACATTTGATCTCTACATTTTATCTTTCTACTGCAAATACTTCTAGTAGTTAACAGTACATATCATGTCAAGCTGCAAACACCCGAATAATCGCCTGCGAGCACTTATTCTTACATCTTAAGCATACTAATCTTCATTCAATTCTTTCAAGATTAATCACCTGCTTCTCCCCAGTGACTGAATGGTTAATGCGGTCACCTGATAGCGCCTTGGCATGAGAAACCAAGAAGCGTGGGTTCGAAACCCGCAGGGAATACATTAATTCCGGAACTCAAGCATCTCAGGTTTCTAATAAATACAGAGGTGTACAAATCGCTTCAATGAATAGCTCTATGTTTCTGAGCTGGGAAGTTATTATCGCATGTATTTAATTGTCACTTCTTTGTATTTTCCTATGTTCTTATTATCTTGATATGATCTCAACACCTAGACTGGCTGCTGAGATCATGAATTTCACATTTAATCTCATTTAATCTGGTCTTATACATTTCTTGGCGTGAATCCCGCTGGGACTGACTATTAAAAAAACATGTAAAGTGACTATATATCAGATCTTAAAATGAAACCATGACTTGAAAAAAATGAGAAAGTGATCTCATTTAGTCTTATTTAGTTTCATTCTTGACATAAAGTTACTATTTTTAGACATTTTAAGGTTTTTTTTTAGACTATTTTTAATTTTTTAAAAAGTAACGCTTTTTGATAATGCTCAAATGAGATTTAAAGTCATTTAAAGCAATAAAAATAATTTAAATTAAGAAGTGAAAATCATGATCTCATTTGAAAAATATGATAAGAGTAGACAGTAAGTCTAACTGAGACAGTATGAGACTACTATCTAATATTAAAACTGTGTAATGAGATCAGTTGAATTGATAATGAGACTATCAAAAAATCTGATTCTGATCTCAGACATAATCACATAGTCAGTCTATTAACACCTGTATTTTCTTCTGTATAACTAATACTTGATCTGTATTTAACATTATGCAAGAACTTATCATAAGCTTCACTTGCATATGAGTATAATGAAAGAATAATAATAATAATAATAATAATCACCTGCTTCTAGAATCTTGATATTGAAGTTGAGAATAAATGTTATAAAAGAAGTGTTTCTCTGTCAGACACTCTATAATCAATCTAATACTTTCTATTGCATGACAGTGTCTTAAAACGGAATATTAAGATATTTGATAATATTGTCAGATATTCGCAATGCTGATTCATATGCTTTTATTCATAAATGAAACTTCTGTTTCATATAATCTCTCAATTATTCATTATTATATTAATCTTGATTGATTAGTAATTGAAGAATGAAAAAAGTTAGTAAATGAGTGATGTAATATAGTGAAAGTTTCTTTATAAGAGTGTATAAGAGATGCTAGCTGAATCAGAGATAGACTGTATAATTATGAATACTAGCAGCATGTTAATCTGCATGAGACTAGAGCTTATATTGCAGTCACATGAGTGTGACTGAATCTGATGAAGAAGAATATGATTTGAAAGAATATACAATCACTGAATAATAACACAGCTGCTTCTGAACATGCTTACAAACGTAAAGAGACTCTAGCGGTCACTAATTAATTTAGATAATATATATAAGAAGTCGGTGTACACCTGTAATCGTACACTGACTCAAGAAACCTTTGAATCACAAAGAATATATATAAAAGATATTATAATAACTACAGAAAGTAAAACTACTGATAGATATAGACAAGTATAATTTTAAGATTAAAAGTATAAAATATCTAGACTTTATCATAGAAGCTGATAAGAGAATCTGAATGAATTGTGAGAAGATCTCTGCTATTCTTGAATGAGAGATCTCACACACTGCGAAAGATATACAAAGCTTCATCAGATTCACTAACTTCTATCAGTGATTTATACAGAACTTCTCAGATATTATAAGATTACTTACAGAACTTACTAAGAAAGACTCAGTATTTTAATAATTAGTGAACACTGAAGCTGCATTTATATAAATGAAGAAGATATTCATTAATACCTCTCTACTAATAACATTCAATTCTGATCATGAGACAGTTATTGAAGCTGATTTCTCTGACTATATCACAGAAGAAGCTATATTATAATATAATGATAAAGATATCTTACAATTATATACCTTCATATCTAAGAAACTGAGTTCTGCTGAATACAATTATAAGACCTATGATAAGAAACTTCTTACTATTATATACTATCTAGAAGAATGAGACTCTGAACTCTGAAGTGTCTCTGAATTTAAGATAATCACAGATTATAAGAATCTTAAGTACTTCACTACTATCTGTAAACTTACTGAATGACAGATATAATAATCTGAGTTCTTAAGCTGCTTTTATTTTACAATACACTATCATTCTGATAGTCAGAACTTGATGATAGATGCTCTCTTATGATAAGAGCAAGATATGTCTTTCAATATAATAGACACTCATTGAATGAACTGAGAACACTGACTCTTAGATCTGAAGATATTGATTGATCAAGATAAAACAGCTCATGACACTATACATACTTCTCTGATTAGAACTATCACTGATATCTTAACTTCTTCTGAATTTATATTAGATAAACTATGACATACAGCAGCTTAAACTGATGAACTTCTTCAAGTACTCACTGAAGCAGTATAATACAAAGCATTTCAATTTCTCTCAGAACTATGTATAAGAATTGACATCTCAGAATATTCAGTCAATGATAATAACACTCTATGATTCTGTGAATGATACTAAGTCTCTCATTTCAAATTCTTACACATCTGAATAATGCAAGACATGTATAATATATATATAATCAGTTATTCAGGCTGTGAACAACTGTATTAAATAATCTCTTGAGAATTCTATTAGCCTGAGATATTAAACAGTATCAGACACTTTGTCTGAAACTATAACTATTATTCTTTCATCATCTCATGAAGAGATTATAGAAAAGACCTGCTGAAACTGCTCAATCTCTCTGATAGAATCTGATAAGATATTGTAAGAGGCCTACGCCGAATAGATCGGTATAATATTATAGGTCTTATATAACAAAGATAAAAACGCTAGAGAAGGAAAGAAAGAGAAAGTGCGAGAATCAGCGATCGAGGTGGATATTTATACACATATGTGGTGGCGTACGCGGTGGAGCTTCGGGGCGGAAGAATATACGCGCGTTCGTAGCGGCCGAGGATCGGCGATCGAGAATGGCCGAGGATCGGAGCGTACGTAGAATCTGTGGAGTGTAACGGAATAGTCTATATGATTGATCGGGGTGGCGGCCGAGGATCGGCGATCGAGAATGGCCGAGGATCGGAGCGTACGTGGAATCTGTGGAGTGTAACGGAATAGTCTATATGATTGATCGGGCGCAGCCGAGGATCGGCGATCGAGAATGGCCGAGGATCGGAGCGTACGTGGAATCTGTGGAGTGTAACGGAATAGTCTATATGATTGATCGGGCGCAGCCCGCCACATTAGCCCCCCCTTTCCAGAAGCAGTTCCCATCAGTCAAGGGCCGCTGTTTCAGATAACACGGAACTCGGAGTCCGGTCAGTTGAGAAGGGATTGGATCAGTGGCAGCGCGGCAGTTCGATGTGAAGTATTTGATAAGAGGATACACTGGAGGTTATAATGTCTTATGACTGGAGATTTTATCATTGCATAGTGGCTTCTCTTTAAATCATTGTTGTCCAACCTCTTCAAGCTCCTGTTTGCAAATTTGAACAGGAGCTAATCTTTTCCCTGTTTCATTGAGGCATTCTCATAGTTATCTTCTGAATCTTTCTCTAATGTAATGTGGTTGGCACGGACAGGCGCTGATTCATCTTTTGATCTTTCTCTTAAGTGTGGAGGCACATAGGTTGATCAGCAGTTGAAAGTGATGTGTCTCAATTGATTACAATTGATGCATACTTCACATTGACATTGATCAGCAACTTCTTCAGAAGTGATTTCAGAAACTCAGAAGCCTGTTTAAACAGCAGAAACTCTTGCTTATGCATAGACATTTGAATCTATTCAGTTCATGACATCTGCATCATTGTTCTTCAGTGCGGGTGTATGAGTGACTGAGTTATTTATTGATACAGGTGTATAAGTGACTGAGTTATTTATCAATACAGGTGTATAAGTGACTGAGTTATTTGTCAGCATAGATGTGTAGATGTAATATCTTCTGTCACTGTTCTGTATACTCTTGAGCTTGATAAGACAGTCATTCATTGTTCAGAGCTGTGTGTAGAAGTCTTTATAAGTCTGGTCTTTATCTACACTTATAAGAACCTGTAAGAGTTTGAAAGTTAATGTCTTCTTAAGCATGCTAATCTTTATTTAATTCTCTCAAGATTGATTATCTACTTCTAAGATCTTGATATCAAAGTCAGAGATAAATATTATAAGAGAAATGTTTCTCTGTTAGATACTCTGTAATCAATCTAATACTTTCTATTGTATGACAGTGTCTTGAAACAGAATATTAAGATATCTCATGATATTATCAGATGTTTATAATACTGATTCACATGCTTTCATTTATAAATGAAACTTCTATTTTATGTGATTCTTCAATCTTTCATTGATATATTAACTTTAATTAATTAATGAACTGATGAAATCTTCATCTACACTCAGTTTCATGAGCATTTTCATTCTTCATGATGAGTAGAGAGTGAGATCAGAAGTATTGAAATATGCAGAAGTATCTAAGCATTCTTTCAGCACTTTTGTATTTGATTCTGTAGATATTGAAATTGCATGAGTTAATTGTTGAATCTCTTCATATTGATGTTGTTGAGTTGCATGCATATCAGCTATTTATTGTTGTTGTAGTTTCAACATTGCTCAGAGCCACTGTGATACTGTGTCTATGCTTGTGTTCAGAGATTCTCTCATATTATCATTAGACATGGCTATATCAATTATCGGATATATGATATCTGTGTAATCTGAAGAAGTGTAATCATATTCTCATACATCTGAGTGTCAGAACTCTCAGGTCTTTCACTGACATTCTCTTTGTAAGATCTTACTCTCTTCATAAGATCTTGTTACAGGGCCAGGGTGACTGGCGAGCAAGCTTCTATCTGAGAACTCAGTATCTACTTAACTGTGTTTTCTCTTTCTTACATGTTGTTACATGTTCGGATATCTCTTGATGAATAATCATTTCCTAATGAGGAGATGATGTGTGAATAATTGTTTTCTAATAAGAAGATAATGCGTGAATAATCATTTCCTAATAAGGAGACAATGAGCATTTTTATAGTGTAAGAGGCCTACGCTGAATAGATTGATATAATATTGATAGGTCTTATATAACAAAGATAAAAATGTTAGAGAAGGAAAGAAAGAGAAAGTGCGAGAATCAGTGATTGAGGTGGATATTTATATGTGTATGTGGTGGTGTACGCGGTGGAGCTTTGAGGTGGAAGAATATACATGCATTTGTAGCAGCTGAGGATCAGTGATTGGAAATGGCTGAGAATCAGAGTGTACACTACACATGTTTGTAGCAGCCGAGAATTGGTGATCAGAAATGGCTGAGAATCGGAGTGTATACTACGCGCGTTCGTAGCGGCTGCGGATCGGCGATCGGGAATGGAAGAATCTATGAAGTGTAATGGAATAGTCTATATGATTGATCGGGCGCAGCCCGTCACAGATATGATAATTAACTTCACTGTTAATCTCTCTAAGAGTAAGAATTATAGAAATATTCTGATCATTATGAACTGATTGAGTAAGAGTGTAATATTGAAATCTTGTGATAAGATGAATACTGAACAAGTCACTGAAGCTTTTCTACAGAGTCTGTTCTATCAGATGCATGAATTATTAAGATCTATAGTATCAGATCAGAGCTGTTAATTCATAAGTACTCTTTGAATAAGAATCTGTCAAGTTCTCAAGATTATACACTGTTTATTAACTGTCTATCACTCTGAGACTGATGATGCATCAGAATAGATAATTTAGACTGTAAAGAATTATCTTTATAAGTTCTGTAATTACTTATAAAATAATTGATATAATCTTCTTCTACACACTGAAGTCACTATCAATGACTGAGATGCTGTTTCAACAGATGTAAGTCTGTTCTTTCTCATATACAGATATTATATGAAGATATTAAATCTTCTAGAGATCATACATTTCACACTGAATCTTCACAGTCTGATTCAGATTACTGATAATATAGTGATAAAGCTCTGAGATATCTGTAACTGAGCAGAAGCCTTAATAGCAAGTACTAAACAGAATCAAGAAGACTGAACTAATATTTATCAAGATTCTATTAAGCAATATAAGATAGAAGATCTGATATGATTGAATCTTAAGAATATACAAATTACACACTCATCTTATACACTGAATTATTATCATATTAAATATAAAGTGATAGAAGTTCTAGACAGTTATAATTACTATCTTAACATATTATCAGAGATTCATAATGTCTTTTATATAAGCTTGCTTCACTGCACTATCACTGATCTGTTCTCTTCTCAACTGACTTTTAATTGACAGTTATCAGGAATTATAGAAGAAGACAATGAACTTGAGTGAGAGATTGAAGATATTCTTAATAAGAGACTTCACAGCTGTAGCTAATAATATTATATGAAATAAGTCAGCTATAATCATCTGATCTGAACTCTGAGCTTCATGTTATTCAAGACAGCAGCTCTTGACTGATGAGAACTACGCACTCATGACTCTATATCAATTCTGGAAAGAAAGGGCTAATGTAGCAGGCTGTGTCTGATCAATTATATAGACTATTTCATTACACTTCACAGATTTCTACTGTTCTGATTCTCAGTCACTGATTCTTGGCTGAAAACCTATGAAATTTCTATTCTTCTGTCTCAAAGCTTCACCGCGTACGCCACTATGTATACATATAAATATTCACTTCAATTGCTGATTCTCACACTTTCTCTTTCTTTCCTTCTCTAATGTTTTTCACTTTATTATATAAGACCTATATATTATACCGATCTATTCGGCGTAGGCCTCTTACATTAAGTGTTTAATAATTGATATACATTCATCACTTCTCTTCTGTCTTTTTCATGAATAGAACTGAGAAGTCTCACACACTTAATAAGAATTGTATGAGATTATACTCTAGAAGGTCTGTGATCTGATACTTCTGTTTTTCAAGATACATTTGCAACAGAGAATACATATTTTGATTAACTGATTTCACATCTCTCATGTCAATCTCATGTACAAATTCTCATTTCAGCAGTAATTTCAGTAAGAGATCTGTTCAGAAGATCTTTTCATACTTCTTCAGCAGTTTCTTCATACACTTATTCTCTTATATATTCTTTATCTTGATTTTCTCTGCTTCTGAGTCTTATATAATATACAGAATACTTTTGAATGAGGTCTTATAAATCATTCTCTTTACTTATTAATGTATAAGCAGATTTAATTCTTCTATATCAGAAGTATGAAATGTTGTTCTCATATCAGTTAATAGAATTATATGAATTATTTTCTTTCTATCAGTTAACTGTATATAACATGTACTGTAAGAGGCCTACGCCGAATAGATTGGTATAATATATAGATCTTATATAATAAAGAGAAAAACATTAGAGAAGAAAAGAAAAGAGAAAGTGTGAGAATCAGTGATTGAAGTGAATATTTATACATGTATATGTGGCTGAGAATCAGTGATTGAGAATGACTGAGAATCGGAGCATACATATTCAAGAATGAAGCAGTTGAAATCTGTGAAGTGTAATGAAATAGTCTATATAATTGATCAGATGCAGTCTTTCACATTAGTCTCTCTCTTTCAGAAGCAGTTCTCATCAGTCAAGAGCTGCTGTTTCAGATAATATAAAACTTGAAGTTTAGATCAGTTGATTATAGCTGACTCATTTCATAAGATATTATCAGTCATAGCTGTGAGATCTCTCATTGAGAATATTCTCAATCTCTCACTTAAGCTTATTATCTTCTTCTATGATGTCTAGCAGCTGTCAGTCAGAAGTCAGTTAAGAAGAGAACAGATCAGTGATAACATAGCAGAGCAAGCTTATATAAAAAATATCATGAATCTCTAATAATGTATTAAGACAGTAGTTGTAACTATCTAGAACTTCTATCACTTTATACTTGATATAGTGATAATTCAGTGTATGAGATGAATATATAATCTGTATATTCTTAAGATTTAATCACACTAAGTCTTCTCTCTTATACTGCTCAGTGAGATCTCAGTGAACATTGATTTGATTCTCTTAATCTTATTTCATAACTGTTATGAAGACTTCTGCTCAGTTTCAGATTTCTTGAAGCTTTATTACTATATTATCAGTGATCTGAATCAAACTGTGAGAGTTCAGTATAAACTGTGTGATCTCTAGAAGATCTAACATCTTCATATAATAACTATATATAAGAAAGAACAGACTTATATCTATTAAAACAGCATCTTAATCATTGATAGTAATCTCTACATATAGAAGAAGATCATGTCAATCATCTTATAAGTAATTACAGAACTTATAAAGATAATTCTTCACAGTCTGAATTATTCATTCTGACATATTATCAGTCTCAGAGTGATACATAGTTGACAGATAGTATATAATCTTGAGAACTTGATAGATTCTTGTTTAAAGAGTATATATAAATTGACAGCTCTGATTTAATACTATAGATCTCAGTAATTCATATATCTGATAGAATGAGCTTCATAGAAAAGCTTCAGTCAACCGCTTCACCACGAACTCGCTCGATTTTTCGAATAAGAACCCGCCGATAGATCCATCGAAAAGCCCTCGATCATACGAGCATTTTGACCCCATCACCGACCGCATACCCCGTGTGGTGGTGGAGTTATCCAGCCAAACATGAACCAGACGTCGTTCGAAACTCCTGTGTGGGATTATCCCCCATTCTCCCCTACCACACCACAACCCTGGGCCAAATTGCCATACAAATTGTAAGGTGAAGAGACCTAGCCATATGCACCAATCTTCTCAAT